TGCACTCCAGCCTCACGACAGAGCAAGACTCCATCTCAAAAAAAACAACAAAAAAAAACCTAATTTTTCAAAGATAACCAGTGTTAATGTTTCCCAGATAATAAAAATCCATACATTCCATGTATTCAGGCATGTGTGTATATGTACATTTTTTCCCTTTAACAAAAATGGAATTATTATACATGCTGTCCACTGGGTAAATTCCTGTTCCTTTATTCTTAAGATTCAACTCAAATGCGAATTAAAACCTTGCTCCTATATATTCATTCCCACAGCTCCTTCTACATGTGCTTGATATAGTATACATCACGTTGTTAACACTCCTATTTTGATCTGTCCTCTCGTGTCCATAAAAATGCACAGCTCACACCTGCTCCTGTGGGGATACTACCTGACAGCCCCTACTGCTGCTCTATGATCCAACACTACATTCACACCAATTCCCACGAGCTGCTCCTAGTCAATGACGGAATACAGGGATATATACCCAGGTCCATTTGAGACACAGGAATCCTTTGACAGGAGACTACAGCAAGGACTCCTGTTCGGCCTTGCCTAAACTTTTTTAGAACTGCACTTCAGTCTAAGACTTTTCCTACCCAACCTGCCCTCCTTCCTGTTCTCATTCACAGGGGTTAGACCAGCATTATGCTCTAATAGCTCTCCTGGCTTCTTCCAGTTCCTTCCTCATCTTCATTCACTGAATTTTTCCCCAGTAAACATCCTGCATGGCTAACCAGGTACTGGCATCTATTCAGAGGACTCAAACCAAGACTCCCCCACTAAAATGAACTGTCCAGGAAGGCAAGGGCTCTGGTCTAACCATCGTTATATTTTAGTATCTAGGCAGCCCAACATTTCAAAGTCTCCTCTCAACAGACTTGCTAAACAACTGTTTTCATTTCCTTGTCTACTTTTCACCAACTCACCTGGGTGGGAGCCTTTTGAGACTTCTTTTTCCAGCAGCCATGGCAATTCAACCCACTTCAGCTGAGAAATCAGCTCTAATTTTGAAACTGGAAAGTCTGCCCATAGAGAAAAGAACAGAAAATGGCTGTTTTGCATAAAGACATCCCAGCATTCATATATAGCCTCTGGTTCTCCAGGGAAGATAAAAGATGCTACCAAAACACACAGATATAAATATTGGAACTTGAGACAAAAATGGGAAAAGGTATTCCACTGATGAAATCAAAATGATGCTTTACATTTCCAATTCAATGAAGCAAAGACCTTTTCTAGAAGACACACTGTAGAAAAGCCAATTTTCAGAACCTGTTTTTAGGATTAGTCCTACAAGCCCCTGGGTCCTCAGCCAAAACAAAGTACTTCACATAGCACTTACCTTTCAATAAAGGGGGCAAAGAGAGACGTAAGTTTAAATGCTAGATAATGAAGAAAAAGTGTCTTTACCCAGAAATTCTAGGTTCCTGAAGTTTTCCAGTAGCACTTCCTTATATAGCTCCTTTTGAAAAGGCTCCAGCTTCTTCCATTCTCCTCTTGAAAAGTTCACAGCTACATCATTCAATGTTATAGATTCCTAGAACACCAAACAGTTCTTTTGCATTGGATTATTCCCAAACAGACCCCAAACACATTTTTTATTTTTTATTTTTATTTTTATTTTTTTTTGAGACGGAGTTTCGCTCTTGTTACCCAGGCTGGAGTGCAATGGCGCGATCTCGGCTCACCGCAACCTCCGCCTCCTGGGTTCAGGCAATTCTCCTGCCTCAGCCTCCTGAGTAGCTGGGATTATAGGCACGCACCACCACGCCCAGCTAATTTTTTGTAGCTTTAGTAGAGACGGGGTTTCACCATGTTGACCAGGATGGTCTCGATCTCTTGACCTTGTGATCCACCCGCCTCGGCCTCCCAAAGTGCTGGGATTACAGGCTTGAGCCACCGCGCCCGGCCCATTTTTTTCTTTTTGAGACAGGCTATTGCTCTGTTGACGATGTTAGAATGCAGTGGTGCAATCACAATTCTCTGCAGGCTCAACCTCCTGGCCTCAAGTGATCCTCCCACCGGTAGCTGGGACTATAGGCATGTGCCACCATGCCCAGCTTACTTTTAATTTTTTTGTAAAGACATTGTCTCACTATGTTGCCCAGGCTGGTCTTAAATTCTCGGGCTCAAGAAATTTTCTGTCCTCTATGTCCCAAAGCACTGGGATTACAGGCCTGAGTCACTGTGCCCGGCCTGGATAGGATATAAAGAATGGTTTTGATAGCATGTAAGTTTTTAAGAATTCCAAAGTAAGCTACAGAGTGGCTACTCATTCTATGATTGTTATAAGTGATTCAGAACAAGGGTATTACACAATCTCTGCCTCTTCCATTCACTCTCTAGTGTTAAATACTGTACAATAATTATCTGGAATGTATAACATTGATCAAGTTCACCTGAACACATCGATTTTTAGGATTAAATATTAATTGAAGGGTATGATTTACATTCCTAAACCCTAAGTTTGCAAAATTAATGTACGCTTACTACAGATAATAATTAACTAAATACATAATAATATCTGCAACTAGATTCCAATTTTTAACTTCCAATTACAAGCAGCAATTATCTATCACATTTGGAGAATCTATATTCAACAACATACTCACACTTGCAATTACTCCACAATTAATTATAAACAAGAATACTGACTCACTAAAATACACTTTTTTTTTTTTGAGGACTCTCACTGTATTGTCCAGGCTAGAATGCAGTGGAGTGATCTCAGCTCACTACAACCTCTGCCTCCCAAGTTCAAGTGATTCTCATGCCTCAGCCCGTCAAGTAGCTGGGATTATAAATATGTGCCACCACACTTGGTTGATTCTTGAAATATACTTCTTATTATAGCATTCTCTGCATGCTTTTTGAGAGGCAGTAGAGCAGAGTAGCTATTGGTACATGTATTACCTTCCTCTGGGAGCTGTAACAAATTGCCAAAACCTTGGTGACTCAAAATAGGAATTTGTTCTCTCACAGTTCTGGAGGCCAGAAGTCTGAGATTCAGGTGTTGGCAGAGTTGCATTCCCTTCTGAGGCTCCGGGGGACAGTCTGTTCCTGGCTTCTTCCTGCTTTCAGTGGCTGCAAGAGTTCCTTGTCTTGTGGCCCTATCATTCCAAACTCTGCCTAACTCTTCATATCACCTTCTTTTTGTGTTTTCAATCTCCTCCTGTCTCTCTAACAAGGACAGTTGTGATGGCATTTAGGGCCCACCTGTATAATCCAGAATAAACTCCTCATTTTGTTTTCTTTCTGAGAGACAGGGTCTCACTTTGTTACCCAGGCTGGAGTATGGCGGCACAATCATAGCTCACTACAGCCTCAACCTCCCAAGCTCAAGTGAAAGATTGTCTTTCCTCCTACAGCTCTACCACCTCAGATCCCAAGTAGCTGAGACCACAGGTACGTGCTACTGTGCCCAGCTAAGTTTTAGAATTTTTTTACATAGACAAGGGTCTCACTATGTTGCCCAGGTTGGTCTCAAACTCCCAGGATCAAGCAATCCTTCCATCTTGGCCTCCCAAAGTGCTGGGATTGCAAGCATGAGCCACTGTACCCAGCCAAAGATATCCTTTATCAAGTTAAGATTTAAGAACATGGGCTTCTGTCTGGGTGCAATGGCTCACGCCGGTAATCACAATGCTGTGGGAGGCCAAGAAAGAAGACTGCTTGAGGTCAGGAGTTCAAAATCAGCCTGGGCAAGATAGTAAGGCCCTAACTCTACAAAAAATATCTTTAAATGAGCTGGGCACACTGGTGCACGCCTGCTGTTCCAGCTACTGAAGAGGCTGAGGAGAGGGGATGGCTTGAGCCCAGGACTTTGAGGTTGCAGTGAGCTGTGTTTGCACCACTGCACTCCACTTCCAGCCTGGATGACAGAGCAAGGCCCCATCTCTAAAAAAAAAAAAAAAAAAAAAAAAGAAATGAACTTCCATTTCCATCTAATTTTATCAGTGGTAACTTGAATTTTATGTGTTTTTGTGTCAGTAGAATCAGACTCATGGCATTCTGTGAACTGAAACAAAATTGTGGGTGGAAAATGAGGTATGAGTTCCTTGCAAGGGAGACTACATTTTATTGTTTTAGAGAAAGGGTCTTGCTCTATTGGCCAGGCTGGAAGGCAGCAGTGGCATGACCACAGCTCACTGCAACCCTGAACTCTTGGGCTCAAGCGATCTTCCTGCCTCAGCCTCCCGAAGTGCTGGAATTACAGGTGTAAGCCACCGTGCCAAGCCTTTTATTTTTATATCTTCATACCACTCAGCAGGAGCCCAGTTAAGTATTCACTTAGGAACAAAAACCATCAAAAGCAAACTTACACAGGACTCAGTATTGGGACAATTAGCGACCACTTTATTCTCTTTTGATTTCTCCTCTTGGGAAACAGAATCTTGAGAGACGAGATCTAGGAAGGGGGAGAAAACCAGTCCAGTCTTTCAAATGGATTCTTCAGACTAAAAATCTTTACATATATAAGTGATACACAGGAAAAAACTAAGTCAGTTTCCCCTACTATACTCACAACACAAAATAATTCTGACTCCAGATATATGGAGGTATTTCCCCCATGCCAAGCAAGCAATTCTGTGGTAGATTCCCCAGCAGGCACCAGCTGGGTGTCCTCTAATTCATTTCTAACACTATCTACCTGGAGAATCAGCTCCCAAAGGTTAAGGCCTCAGTCCCACAAGACCATCCTCCACGTCAGATGCCAGTCTCATGTCTGAGCCTCCAGGGTTTTGACCAACAAGATACAAACTGGGGATCCCATGAGCCCCTCCCTGGGTTCCAATAATATGCTACAGTGGCTCACATAACACTTTACTTACATTTACCGGTTTATTGTAAAGGGTATTCCAAAGGATACAGAGGAACAGCCAGATGGATGAGGCACTGCAGAGGGCCAGGGGCTTGGATCGTCCATGCCCTCTCTGGGTGCACAGCTCTCCAGAACTGCCATGTGGTTAGCTATCTGGAACACCCCTTTTGGGTTTTTATGGAAGCTTCATAGACAGGCACAACTGGTTAAATCACTAGCCATTTGATCAACTCAACCTTCAGTCCCTCTCCCCTCTGACAAGTTGTGGGGTGGGGCTGAGTTCCAACCCTCTTAAGCACAGGGTTGATTCCCCTGGCAACCAGCACCCTCCCAACTCCAAGGTCATCTAGGGACTTTCCAAAAACCACCTCATTAACATAAACTCAAGTGTGGTTAATAGGGGTTTGTTATAAATAACAAAAAGACTGTCTTTCCCCTTTATAGCTCAGGAGCTGTTTTAGGAACCACGGACAAAAGGCCAAATATTTTAACAAAAGATACTCTTACTGCTCTAATCGCCCAGGAAATTATAAGGGTTCTAAGAGCTGCAAGCCCCTTTAGGTGAAGGTCATTCAAAAGAAACAAAAAGTTGCCCCACTCTTTAAAACAGACAACACCCACAGATAAAAGTTTCCTATGAAAACCTAGGCTTTTCCCCTTAGCTCATATAAAAATCCTCTCCAATCCTAAGCTCACAAAAACTGGTTTTCTTCTTTCTATAAACCCTGTTTAAAAATATTTAATTTGAACAATAACCAACTTTGAAGTATTCTAATTTGAAAGATGCAGTAAGGTAAAACTGTACATTCTTCATGGTCCTAGTGACAAGAGTCATGCAAACCTGCTAACTGAATGAAAGCACCAGGTTAGTCTCAAGAACTGACTCCACCAGATTCCTAAAGACAGAAAAGAGGCATCTAATAAAAACTCATGGAAACTAAATGTATCCAGTACGTTCAGATTGGCCCATTCTGGGCACACTGCCTATGAGTGATTCCTTCTCTACAAGGAGCAGTAAAAAATAAAAACATAAATACAAAACCCTCAGATGTCAACAACTCTTTTTCAAATAAGAAAAAGTACTTTTTCAAATCAAACTCTACCTTTTTACGAAAAGAATTTTACACAACTTCAGCGATTAGATGATAAATAAAAATTAAGAATCAGAATTATGTAATCAAACAGAAAAGTGAGTGATTTTAAGAAAACAGTTATACCCTACAAAATCCTAGAAAACAAATTTTTTTCGGAGACAGTTTCGCTCTTGTTGCCCAGACTGGGGTGCACTGGCGTGACCTCAGCTCACTGCAACCTCCGCCTCCTGGATTCAAGCAATTCATCTGCCTCAGCCTCCAGAGTAGCGGGGATTACAGGCGTGTGCCACCATGCCAGGCTAATTTTGTATTTTTTTGTAGAGACAGGGTTTCTCCATGTTGGTCTGGCTGATCTCTAACTCCTGACCTCAGAGAGTGATCTGACCGCCTCAGCCTCCCAAAGTGCTGGGATGACAGGCGTTTGCCACTGCACCTGGCCCAAAAGCAATTCTTTATTGCAGGGGCCTCCACACAGAGGCCCTAATTTTGTAGAAGCATAACACTGCAGTGACAAATCAGAGGAGTCAGGAAACCCAAATTTTAGATATACTAATTAGCTGTGTGATGGCAAACTAAGTGTATGGAGGTAAATACTATTTATTTCCCTATCTCAATATTTCCAAATTTTCCAAATGTATTTGCAGTATATTACACGGCAGAATACAAATATTTGTAACATATTTGAGAACATGAATAGCTACAAATTTGAGAAAAAGGTGAGCCACATCCCCTGAAAGGACTATTCACCCTAGAAGACTTTACATCAATATTTTATAATGATATCACTGTAATTCATAGTTTATATTTTATACATTTATAATATGTAATTATATACATATAATTCAGGTTTTCCTGCACTAAGGCTGTAGAACTCCACTGTAAAATAGTTAATAGTCACATGTGGCTATTTAAACATTAAATTTGATTTTTAAAATTCAGTTCCTTATTTGCACTAGCTGCTTTTCACATGCTTAACTTGAATTGCAAAACAGTGCAGAAACATTTCCATCAGCAAAGATACTGACAGCCCTGTTCTAGTACCATGCTAGTCTACACACTGGAGCTAGACATTAGGGCCTGAGCTGGTTGATTTGCCTGTGACTCCAAACACTTTCACAGATAACTTGTGTTCCTGAAGGGGATGGGAACGAAATTAATATTTCTTGAGCACCCACCATATATATCTTGTCTCACCTTTACAAGAAAACTACAGGAAAGATGATATCCTTTTTTAACACATAAAAATATTTACATTCTGCCAGGCACGGTGGCTCACACCTGTAATCCCAGCACTTTGGGAGGCCAAGGCGGGCAGACTGCTTGAGGTCAGGAGTTCGAGAGTAGCCTGGCCAACATGGTGAAATCTCGTCTTTACTAAAAATACAAAAATTAGCTGGGTGTGGTGGTGGGTGCCTATAGTCCCTGCTACTTGGGAGGCTGAGGCAGAAGAATTGCTTGAACCCAGGGCGCGGAGGTTGCAGTGAGTCAAGATTGCACCACTACACTCCAGTCTGGGTGACAGAGCGAGACTCCCTCTCAAAAAAAAAAAAAAAATTTATATTCTGAGTTTACACAGCTTGCCCAAAATCACACAGTAAATGGCAGGGCTGATTCAAACCCAATCCCAACTTCAAAACTCGGACTCCTCTTTAGCAGTAAATTGCTTTCTTTTGAGGAGTTCACTTTCAGACTTTGAGGCAACGTCTCCCACTTCCTCTCTCCATCTGTAATGCTCACCTTCTTTTTCTTCAAGCATCTGTGTCAAATCTTCTATTAGGGTCACCACCTCCTCACTACTCTCAGGATGTTGTGACTTTACCCAAACCCTGATCTCCCCAGGCAAAATGGTCAGGAACTGCTCAAACACCAAAAGCTCTAAAATCTGTTCTTTCGTGTGAATGTCTGGTCTCAACCACTGAGTGCAGAGCTCCCAGAGTTGATTCAGAGCTTTCCTGGGTCCGGCTACTTCTGAATAAGAAAACCACCTAAACCTCTGTCTGAAACACTCTGCATCAGCAGCATCTCCTCCTAAAATAGTTTCTTGCTCCCCAGAAGTAACCATTCCTGGGACCTCATTTTGTTCAGTCGAGGCCAGAGTTTGAGGGTCTGGTGAGATGGCTGTCATCTTGTTCAAGGGCACTACAGCTTGCACTGTGTATCAGGAGGAGGAATCCAGTCCCTTCACACTCTAGTTGAGTATCAGTACAGTCCAGCAAGAGGCACTATACACAGCCAGGAATATCAAGGTTCCAGGAATCCAGTTTACAGTCCTGCAGAAACTGTCAAGAAGAAATATTAAGGCATTAAATAAGTAAAACAAACTGTTGTCAGTCCTAAAAACAATGTTCTTGGTTTGGTTCCACACACATACCCAGAAAGGCCTAAAACAGCCCTGCTCAACTACTATATTAAAAGAATAATTTTCTTTCTTTCTTTTTTTTTTTTGAGATGGAGTTTCGCTTTTGTTGCCCAGGCTGGAGTGAAGTGGCGCGATGTTGGCTCACTGCAACCTCTGCCCCTACTGGGTTCAAAGCGATTCTCCAGCCTCAGCCTCCTGAGGAGCTGGGATTATCGGTACCCACCACCACACCCAGCTAAGTTTTGTATTTTTAATAAAGACCGGGTTTTGCCATGTTGGCCAGGCTCGTCTCAAACTCCTGACTTCAGGTGATCCACCTACCTCAGCCTCCCAAAGTGTTAGGATTACAGGTGTGAGCCACCACGCGCAGCCGATAACCGTCTTTATAGTCAAAAGCTGAGTAGCTACTTAAGGGTTATAAAAGGTACCCTCAAAGGAAACAGTTGCTACAGATTCAATAGTCCTCCTCAGCAAAATGTTATCAGGAAAGGTTTACAAGAGGACCCAGTCGCAAAGCTATTTAACAACTACTACGCTTTCTCAATGAAAGGCCACACATTTCTCACCAGTTGCTCAACTCAGAAGCCCAATTTAATATTTGACTTTCAAACTTCTCTTCCTCCTTACTTCTCCCATTATCAATAACCAGGTTCTGGCGATTTTATTTCCTAAGAACCTCTCCATTCTATCCTACTGAAACTGCTTAAGTACAGGCTTCTTCAATCCAGTCTCACACTGTAGCCAAAAAATTCCTTCTAATATGCAAAACATGATCTTATCACTCCCTTGCTTATCGTCCCTCACCAGCCCCCAAACTGTCTCTCGATAAAGTTCACAAGCAGGGACCATGCATTGTGATCTGAGATATTGCCTGATGACTTCACCTGCTGAGCTCTAGCTACCCGATTGACACTACAGCTATAAATTAACATCTCTCCATTCCCAGGCACACTCTGTATATACCCTCCTAGCCTTTACACCAAGGCTATTATTCCCTCTCCTCGGAATGTTGCTTTCTTTCTCCTACCAAACTTTTATTCGTTCTTTAAAGCCTGACTCCTTTCAACTGTCACCTCTTGTGTGATGCTCCGCTTGATCCCAAAGCACTCCTTTGCAAGCAGACCGCCCTGTGTTGCATGCATTCATTCATTCTACAAGTGACTGAGCAACTACAATGCGCTGGAACGGGACCAGGGGCCATGAGCTGCGGGGCCAGGCGTGGACAGGCCCGAAAGGGACCTCACCCTTACAGAGGGTCCAGGAAATGACAATAAAGCCGGAGCGGGACTACAATGAGGCAAGTGAAGGCTGTGAGAGCCTCGCAATGCAATTACCATACCAATAACAACCCATCTCCGAACACAGCGCCCGGCACACAGCACGCATGACGTCATTTATTCCTATACCAAATATTAGGCGCCCACGAGGTACCTGGCGCCGTGCTGGGCACCTGGGGCTCTGTGGTGACGAAGACCCTCAGCTCCATCTACAGGGAGTTTACACTGGAGGCCCGGTGAAAATGTGACGCAGCCAGAGGATCTCAACCGGAGGGAGGGCAAAAGGAGAGGTTTCACCCCCTAGGGGTCCTCTGACAATATCTGGACATATTTTTGGTTAGCTCAGCTGGGAGAAGAGGTAGTACTGGTATCTAACGGGCAGAGCCAGTGATGCTGCTACAAATCCTGCAATAACCGGAGAGCCTCCTCCTCACCGCCACGCCACACAAACAAAACAAGGCATTATCCCGCCCGAAATGTCAACAGCGTCCAAGAGGCGCAGGGAGGGATGGAGGGAAGGCTACAGCCCCGTCCCGCAGCGGAGTGCGCACCTCCCACAGAAGCAGCAGCAGCAGCGCAGCGCACAGCCGGTCGGTCGGCTGCTCCTGGTCCCCACCCCGCCCCAGGGGCGCCCTCGGAGCCTGCGATCCGGCCGCGGCCCCGAAACTCGGGGCAGGGGACACCCAGTACCTGCACCTGCATCCGCAACCAGCAACAACGCCACCGCAATGAGCTTCCAGAAGCTTATCCCGCAGCGAGTGCGCGCGCAAGCCCGCGGGGACCACTGCGCCTGCGCAGAGACGCCGAACAGGACTCCCCGAACGCGCTCGTGAGGCTTTCCGAGAGTCCGCGCTTTCCATAGGCTCCCACCTGCCTGTTGCGCATGGTCACTGGGAAGCGGCTAGTGGGCTCGGCTGCAGAATTATTGCTGCGCCAGAGGCTCAGAGGCCTAGAAACCTTTGAGGTTTGCAGATTCAGGGGGCTCCATCTCCTTAGTAACCTCAAACCTTCCCTACTCCCTCCTATCACTTCCATTCCCTGAAATCTAAGGTGGAAAAATCCATCCCAGAAGCATATTAGCGATGCATTTAGTGCAAGCCATAACGCCACAGCTTGAGTTAAACACATGTTAATCTTATGACTTCCACACCCGCCCCCATGGTCCAGTCCATCCTCATGGCTCACCTGGATTACTGCAATAGCTTCTTGATTTCACCTTACTTCTCTTGGCTATTCTCCACACACACCACAGACAGACCAACATTTTAAAACGCCAAAGTATATTCCTCCTTTGCTTAAAACCCTGCAATGGTTTCCCATTTTACTCAGTGAAAACCCAAGTATTTATAGTGGCCTACAAGGCCTGATGGAATCTTACCCTCTATAACCTCCCGTACCTCTTCCCCCACTTTCCGGCTCAAATCTTATTAGACCCCTTCCTCTTCCTCTAACCTGCCGGGTACTTCAGGCTGACCTGCTCCTCCCCTAAGTGGCCAAACGTCGGCGCACTCTCTCACCCCTTCAGGTCTTCCCAATGAAGCTCCCCCAAGATTCACTTAAATAGGAATTCCACCTCACTCTTGTTTCCTCTTCTAGCATACTCTATAGTTTTTTGTTGTTGTTGTTTGGTTTTGTTTTGCTTTTTTGAGACGGAGTTTTGCTTTGTCACCCAGGCTGGAGTGCAGCAACAGCACGATCTCGGCTCACTGCAACCTCCGCCTCCCGGCTTCAAGCAATTCTCCTGTCTCAGCCTCCCAAGTAGCTGGGAATCCAGGCGCCCGCCACCACGTCCGACTAATTTTTTGTATTTTTAGTAGAGACAGGGTTTCCCCATGTTGGGCAGGCTGGTCTCGAACTCCTGACCTCAGGTGATCTGCCTGGACCTTAGGTGATCTGCCTGCCTTGTCCCAAAGTGTTGGGATTACAGGCATGAGCCACTGTGCCTGGCTGTTTTGTTTTGTTTTATTTTGTTTAAATTTATTATTTTACTACTTGTTTGTCTTCCCCACTAGAATATTCATTACACAAGAGTAAGTAGTTTTATCTCATTTGTTCTAGGTTGTATGTTTAGGCCCTGGAACAGTACTTGGCCAATGATAGGCACTCAATAGACAATTGTTGAGCTTATGAATGAGTGCTTGCATAGATTATGGAGGGCATTGCAAAAAGGGCCAGGAACTCCGGAAAAATTGTTTGAAGGGTCCTAATAACTGGATGATCCCTGAAGGGGTAGAGTTGGGAGTGAAAGACTACATTCATTCTAGACTGAAGGAGCAGGATGATTTAAGGCCCTGCGACTTCAAAAGGACACAGCAAGCTCAACTAAATGAACTACTGGGCTTATCACAGGCAGCAAGTCAAACTGAAGAAACAGGGCTGAGAGTTAAGACAAAAGTTTTCTCAGTCCCAAATCCCATTGCATACTCTCCTCTACCCACCTCCCCTTGGCTGGCTTAAGTAAGACACATCAGGAAGAAGCTGGAGAAGGCAGAGGAATGTGGAATGTCTATTGGCTCATTATTGTAAATAGGCAAGTCAGAGGCAGTTTACTTAGCCGTTCTCAAGTTTTACTGTACCTTAGAATCACATGATGTTCTTTATTTGAACAAATTTGGGGGCTGGGCACCCGTGGCTTACGCCTGTAATCCCAGCACTTTGGGAGGCCAAGGCGGGCAGATCACCTTAGGTTGGGAGTTCGAGACTACCCTGACCAACATGGCAAAACCCCATCTCTACTAAAAATACAAAATTAGCTGGGCATGGTGGCGCATGCCTGTAATCCCAGCTGCTCAGGAGGCTGAGGCAGGAGAATCACTTGAACCCGGGAGGTAGAGGTTGCAGTGAGCTGAGATTGTGCCATTGTACTACAGCTTGAGCAATAAGAGTGAAACTTCGTCTCAAAAAAAAAAAAAAAAAAAAAAAAAAAAACTCCGTTAAAAAAAAAAAAAAAAAAAAAAGGAAAAAAACCACAAATGTGGGGAACTTCTGGCCCTCCCCATCCATCAACTTGTTCCAGGTGATCGTGTGCTTTGAGAAACACAGTACTAGTTGAAATATTCTGTAAGTAAATGACATGCTGCATATGAATAAATTACCAGGAAAGAATGGCATCTTCTTGGAACTGGTAGTCAAAATATAACTTTCGATTAAAAGTAACTGTCATAGGAGTGGTGGACTGTGCATCAGGAAGGAAGCTAGAAACTACAAATCAGTTTCACTTGTCTGCAATCTGGTGGGATCTCGAAACAGGATAAACATACTTAGGAACAGTTTAAGTGAGCTGTTTGTTAGTTTAACTGTTTGGGCTTCAGTATGGAGAATAGATTAGAAAGAGATAAGACCAGAGATAAAAAGACTAGTCTTATCATAATCCAGTATGATGGTGGCATAAAATAAAGGTGGTTTAATGGTGACGGAAGACAGACACAGGGCATAGTAGTATCAAGGGATAGTAGTAGGATTAGGATTTGGCGATTTATTGCAAATATTCATGGATGGTAACAAAGAAAACAATGTGCCATAGGGCATCTTACATTTTGTAATAATGGTCACAGCAATATATGTCCTATCCCACAAGTTATTCTTACAAGGTTATGTTGATATATCACCTTTTGAGAGGAATTATCTATGCTTCCTCCCCATTGAAACTAGGTTGATGACCTTTGTAACTACCTAAGCCAATACAATGCCGTGGAAATGATGCTGCCTAATTTCTAAATCTGCCCACATCCATAGAACTAGCGCCCAGATCAAGAAACACAACATGCGGCCAGGCGGTGGCTCATGCCTATAATTCCAGCACTTTGGGAGGCTGAGGTGGGTGGATCACCTGAGGTCGGGAGTTCGAGATCAGCCTGACCAACAAGGTGAAAACCTGTCTCTACTAAAAACACAAAAATTAGCCGGGTGTGGTGGCAGGTGCCTATAATCCCAGCTACTCAGGAGGCTGAGGTAGGAGAATCACTTGAACCCAGGAAGCGAAGGTTGCAGTGAGCCCAGATCATCATGCCACTGCACTCCAGCCTGGGTGATGGAGCAAGACTCTGTCTCAAAAAAAAAAAAAAAAAAAAAAGAAAAAAAAAACCGCAACATGACAAGCAATGCAGAAGCCCTGGTCCTCCTGTACTTCCTTTTGGTCACCTTCCCAAGGGTGTCACTATCCTGACTTTTAACAGAGAAGAACAATTTTACTTGTTTTCATATCATAGAATCTACAGTCTAGAAAGTGGAATCATATAGTACATGTTCTTTGAATATGATGACTTCTTTCATTCATCATTATGTCTGTGAGATTTATCAATATTGTTGCATGTGATTATACAGTGTTTACTGCAGCATATTCTCCTATGACCTGTTTTTTGTTTTTTGTTTATTTTTGAGATAGAATCTCACTCTGTTTCTCCGGCTAGAGTGCAGTGGTATAATCTCGGCTCACTGCAACCTCCACCTCCCGGGTTCAAGCAATTCTGTCTCAGCCTCCCGAGTAGCTGGGATTACAGGCACCCATCACCATGCCCAGTTAATTTTTGTATTTTTAGTAGAGATTGGGTATCGCCATGTTGGCCTGGGTGGTCTCAAACTCCTGGCCTCTGGTGATCACCCACCTGGGCCTCCCAAAGTGTTGGGATTACAGGCATGAGCCACTGCACCTGGTCTGACCTGTTATTTATGTTAACATTTCCTGTTTTCATAGCCCCTTGCCCAGCCTCTTCTCCTGTAGAGAAATAGCTGTGAGTATAGTGTTTACTGCATGTGCTACAGTGTTTTTGGTAGCAATTCAGCTAGTAAGCATTGGACAACTAGTAAAGAGACAGAATTAGGATTCCAAACCAGGCAGCATAGCTCCTGAACCTGTGTTCCACCATATACCACATAGTCATACGACAGTTTTGGGGTTCGTTTGTTTTGTTTTTTTGAGACAGGGTCTCGCTCAGTTGCCCAGGCTGGAGTGCCATCATGTGATCATGGCTCACTGTAGCCTCCACCTCCCACTTCAGTCTCCCAAGTAGCTGGGACTACAGGCATGCACCCCACTAATTTTTGTATTTTCATAGAGATGGGATTTTGCCATGTTGTTCAGGCTGCTGTCAAACTCCTGAGATCAAGCAATCTGCCCACCTCAGCCTCCCAAAGTGCTGGGATTATAGATGTGAGCCATCACATCCAACCTGTTTTTCTTTTCTTTCTTTTTTTTTTTTTAAGTTTTCTCTTCACTGAGCATTCAGTTAACCCTATGGGGAACCCTGACTCTTTCTCTGTTTCTTTTTTTTTTTTTTTTTTGAGACGGAGTTTCGCTCTTGTTACCCAGGCTGGAGTGCAATGGCGCGATCTCGGCTCACCGCAACCTCTGCCTCCTGGGTTCAGGCAATTCTCCTGCCTCAGCCTCCTGAGTAGCTGGGATTACAGGCACGCACCACCATGCCCAGCTAATTTTTTGTATTTTTAGTAGAGACGGGGTTTCACCATGTTGACCAGGATGGTCTCGATCTCTTGACCTCGTGATCCACCTGCCTCGGCCTCCCAAAGTGCTGGGATTACAGGCTTGAGCCACCGCGCCCGGCTTTCTCTGTTTCTTAATACCCTACTCTCCTCTGGGGTTTTTACTCCTCAGGCCTCCCTGCAGGGTAGGTAGCCACAAGGTTTATGAGATCAAGATGACCTTTCTTCCCGGGAGGGCAAACTAGGATGTTTCCTCTCCTCAAACGGAAGGCGTAGGTCTTTCACAATGAGACAAACTTATTTTTGTCTTGCGAATAGCAAGGTTAGTCCATTACAATTTATGTATTTATTTTATTTATTATT